TGGCTTTATGTTTTATTTTGGTCTTGGGTGCGGTCCATCACTTTGATCGATCATTATTGTTTGATGGAACTATGGGACATAAACATACATATATATAGTATAGTCACATACTCATAGAATTCATCGGGCTCTGGGCCAAGTTAGTGCGACTAAGCGAGTTGGTTTGAGGGTCATTACAGACGTTAGTCCATTAATCATATTCCTCGGATCATCAATGGGTCATGGCTTCGATTTGTTGCCGGGTTTCTAACTTTATCGTCCAGGCTTTTTGTTCGAGAAGCTGTCAGGTTAATGTGTTAAAACGCTTTCAAAACTTGTTAATTGAAGTTTAAGCTGGGACTAACTTGAACTTTGAAATAATAACTTTGAAATTAATTGAGTTGGAAGATAGTGTCAGGTTATGGCAGTAAATGGAATAAATCATAAAACCTATAGTTTTTTAACTGGGAGTGTTAAAAAAAATTTATGTTAAAAGGTTTTAATTTTTAGTGCCACTTTAGTTAGTCATAAACTTGAGTGGTTTTGAGACTCAACAAATATTATTTTGTATAAACTAAGCCAAAAAATTTGCAAACATAAAACATTTTTTAAAGAGCTTTAATTAAATAAAATTAGAATTTTATTTTTAAGGTTTCCTAGACTTTGGTTTTCATTAAATCTCCACCAAATAAATTTTACCAAAATTCCAGGCAACTAACAAAGTAAAATAAAAAAACCAATGAGCAATCTTTCAATTCCCCAATCAACCGGCAAATAAATACTTATCAATCATGGGTAAACTCACGTTTTATGCAAACAATTCTTATCATGCCATAGCTAAAACCACATTTCCAAAACAAAAGTCAAGTCAAAGTAAAGCAAAGAACTTCGTTGGATGACTAAGAATGCCGAATAAATTAAAGAATACGATATTTTATCGCACATGGAAACCAAAGACGACAACCACAAAAAAAAAAAAATAAATAAAAGTGCAAAATAATTCTCACCTTCCTGATGAAGTTGATAATCATCTACAGTAATCATTCAATAATCACTTCTACCCTAGACCAATTAGCACCTTCGATTGGAACCCCACACACAGAAGACAGCAAAATAATTGTAAACACGAAAACGAGGCTTACGTAAGAATCTACAAATTGTATAATTTACGCCCACTTCCCTTCGCGCAGACAGACCAAAAATAGCAGAATTTTAATCAACCAAAACATTTTGACGCCAACATATTGATTATTGCCGTTCGATTAGGGCCTCGTAAATTCATAAACGGAAAAGAGACAGAACCATGACCAAATTTTTGGCCCAATGGCTCTGTCAATCGAAGCGTCATCGAAAAAACTAATTTTGGAAGCCAAAAATGAGAGGGTAAAAGAAGATACGCAGATTCCAGCAGGCTCTATTGTGTACACAAATTTACCTGTCTTTTATGGTGTGTAAATAACAAAACAGAGGACACACCTCCCTTCAAAAATAATGATGCACTGACAAAAGCATTGAGAGTTCTTTTCATCCCACTTTTTGCCCACTTCATGTGTCAAGTTTTGAGTTCAGCATATTAACCCTTTGTTTTTTGCCAATTCATTTATATTTATGTCATTCTTTACACAAAATAAAGAATAAAAGTATAAATAATGATCATATTTCATACCCAAAAACTTTTTTTGCATAAGAAATGTACCTTAACAAAGATTTAATTTATTTGTTCATAAAATTTTTTTTCCTATACCTTTATTTTTGTACTGATCATATTTTATACCCCAAACATTCACAAAATTTAAATATATAGATTTTTATTTGAACATAAATACTCAATTAGTTTTTCCCAACCATAGTTCATGACCTTTATACCTTATTTTTACCCCTTTGGAACATTAACTTATATAGCTTTTAAACCATTTTTAAACCGTCACCCAATGGGTTAAAAGCGATTATTCTTCGCACATGTGCTCGCCTGACTTTGTTGTTATTATTTCTGCCACCGATTTGACTACTTTGTGTGTCTGTCGGCTCTCAACTCGGCTTGCCTCCTCATTTCAGCACTCCACTTTTATAGCTACTGTATTTTTTACGGCTAATGGGCAGTAACTGTAGAACTGACAGCGAAATTGGCGTGCAAATTGAAAATAGAAAAGCGTTAAAAGAAAAAAAAAACAGAATTGGACTGACTTCAATGAAATTTTAGGAGAAGCGTTGTATAAAGTTTATATGGCCAGATTACAGATAGGCGTAAAAAGAAAAATGGAAAACAAAACCTACTAGAACAACAAATTATTGATTAGCACAGCTGGGCGAAGAAAAAGGTGTTAAGAAAAGGGGAAATGGAAGTTTATACATTTTTCAGAACAATTCTTAGCCGCCAGAGGGAAATGAAATCAACATTTTGATGAATTGAAACGAAATTGAAAAACGGTTTCAGGTGGCAAAAGTGCAAGGGGATAGTTCGATTAGTTCGATTTATGCTTTATTGAAGGCAATTTGTTGTTCGCCTTTTTTTTTGCGAGCCAGTAATTGAACATCGTAAATTGCCTTCGCCATTTTTCCCAACGTTTTTTTTTTTTCGTTATTGATTTTACAATTTTGATCAAAAAGTCATGGGAATGATACACGAGTCATTTGGAGAATGACCAGACTATATAAGCTATTATTATATAAATGCTTTGACAACTTAACACATCCCTCTGCCAGCAATGAAAGTAACAAGTAACAAACAGGCCGATTTAATCGACATCAATTTGAAATAAAATAATTGCAAAAATATTCAAGGAATGCGGCTAAACCAAAAGCAGTCAAACAACATTAAGAAAAGAAAACAAAAACAAAGCCGTTGACTTCGACACATGAACAGAGAAAAACTTTATACCACTTTGTGGTTAACCACAGTATTTGTACATTATTGTTTATTGAAAGGCAATCTTCTAATAAATTAAAAATTATATTATTAATTCAAAAATAAACTGTTTAATCATAAAATTATATGAATGAAACCAGACATATTATTTCATAAAATTTAGTTGGACACTTCTGATTTAACTGTCAAATAAATCATATTCATATATCATATCAATCAAGATTAAAATCATCAAGTGTCTAAGAAAATGATCATTAAAAAAACCCGAACCTGTCCATTATAAATAAAGGTTTGAATTTTTCGCGGTGTATTGGCTGACGAACACCTGTTTATACGTACAAGCTACTCACATAACTAAAGTGAATCATCGACTCTCGTTTGACACACTGAATTAGCCCACACTCCATCTCCTATCTGGTTTTATTTAATTTTATTTTTTCCAGACACGTGCCCTCAAAGGCAGACGCATTAAAAAGACAATTTCAATTCTCCACTTGAACTTGAAATAGCCAGAGAAAAACTAAAAGCAGAGACAAAGGTAAATGCAAATGCAAAGCATTTTAATTGCATCTTTAAATGCCAATAATGTGAGAATCTCCCTCGAATCTTTGTTAATTTCGCTAAAAATAGACAATAAGCTCACTCAACTGTTGTTTCTATACCCCTGTTTTTTTTTTTGCTTTCATCGGCATTTCTCTCGAATTAAGTTTGCTTTGATTGATGATGCCCGATTATGAGTCACTCAACTCGAAATATATTATGGAGAAATAGAGAAAAAACGGTGAGATTTGCGCAGTGGGTAAGTGGGTTAAGTTATTTAGATATTTGTATTGACATGTCACGGTGTAATCGGATATAGGGCAGAAATTATTGCGACGATGACTTGTTGAACGCCATAAAATAAGACTAATAAAATGTGGCAAATAAAAGAGGCTAATAAAAATACGCACAATAAATAAAGACCATTAATCAAACTGTCCTCATTGTTAAAAAAAATAAAAATACATATTCATCATTATTCATTTCAAAGGGAAATAAATAACTATTTATACAAAACATGTTGTAAAGTCATGAAAGTTACACAACTTATCTGGTTTTTAAATTTTAATAATAAAAATAATCTGGGTTCACAAACATTATTTCAAAAAATATATAAAAATCGAAATACCCTGCATTATAGAGTTTGATACACTTTAGATATATATGCTTAAAATATCTTCAAATAAATCTTATTTGCCTCCAGAAAATATTCTTATTTTTAAATAAAACCTTATTTTCTGTTAATAAGTTTTAAGCTTTACTAAATGCAGTAAAGTCCGCTCTGTTTTTTTAAAAATTTGTTTTTTACACTCCAATGCAGAACGGAAATGTGATTTTTTCCATCGTTTTTCGTTTTTTGTTTTCCATTTCTGTTTGCCCGACGACGGGCCCCAAAATGGTTCACTGCACTTGACTCTGCGCTTGTGGGCGGATGGGGAAAAAAGGGAGGGGCTGCGAATGGTCGGGGACTGGGTTTGTCAACGCTTTTATCTGATGCCTAAAGCGAAACAATATGCCGAACGACAGGGGAAATGTATGGCAGAGGGTACAGCTTTAATTCTTCTTTTGTGGGGCCTACACACACACACACATACACACATCAGGTGTGAAATATAGATACATACATATGTATGCGAGGGTGCGGTTCAAAGGGTGTAGCTCCAATGGAATGTCGTTCAACTTTTGAATTGCAGAACTTTAAAGATTTGGTAAGAGTTTAAGGGGGAATTGTAATATTTATAAATACAAATACAAAAAAAAAAAATAATAATAAAAGTATATACATATGTCGTTAATACGTTTCCAAAAATGTATCTTTTAAGTTTGAATGCTAAATAACAATAATTGAAGAAGATGTGTATGGAATATGTGTTTTATTTTACAAATTGCAATGCTAATTTACAAAAATAAATATTTAATCATTTGGTATGTACCCAGGAAACTGTATAAAAAATTATTTATTAATTTCAAAACCAATTTTCAGTAAATACCTATGCACCAAAAAGGCACTTCAGTTTTGTTATCACCTAATTAAAGCTCGGAATAATACAGGTGGGTACAATAACTACTCAAAATATATATATATCTTTATATACACCTCTGATCTTCAACTTACCGCACTGCCCGCCATTGAGAGCCAGTCCATCCTTGACCGCTTGCTGTTGCTGTTGGGCATTGCTGCTGTGCAATATGTCCGACAGAGACAAAGACGAGGCAATGAGCTGTCGCTTCTCCTCAAAGTTGAGGAAATCCATGGAATTGCTGCGTTGCGGTGTGACTGTGATGGTCACCGATTTCTGCATTTTGGCCACGACACAGAGTTGTTGCTCCAGTTCCGATTGACCGGCAGATTGGGCGTTTGGTGAATCCGGGGGCGTGGCAGCCTGGGCGGAGGGATGATCAATGCCATCGGTGAGATCGGGCGGTGGAAGTTGCTGTTGCTGCTGCTGCTGCTGTTGCTGTTGCAACTGCAATTGTTGCTGCTGCTGTTGCTGGTAATTGTGGTTTAATTGCAACTGATGATGTTGCTGCTGCTGCTGCTGATGCTGTCCGTAGTATGTAAATGCGGACTGGGCAGTGGCCGCCGAATACGAGGGTGGACCCAATGGCGAATGGGGTGGGGCATGGGCCACCCTAGAAGCCGCGGCCGGTGACAATTGATAGCCAGCACTGCTGACGGGCGAGTTTTGACCATCATGTCCATTGATGGCGGCCACCAAAGTGGCCAGATTATTTCGACTGGTGTTGCCCCTCTGTTGCGCCTGGAATTTGTGCTGCTGCTGCAACTGTTGCAGCAATTGTTGCTGCTGTTGCTGATACGCCATCGGCGGAAGTTGCTGCTGTGCGTTGCTGCTTCCGTTGCTGTTGTTGCTGGCCGTCGACTGTTGGCTCTGCAACTTGTTGCTTCGCAGCGACATGATTGTCGAGTAAAAAGACTCTTACTCCATTGTCACGTGACTTTGGCGGTTCAGCTAATTGGTGGCAAACACGCTTCTCCTGGTTTTGTTTTGTTTTTTTTTCTTCACCCGCACTTCACTTTTCTTGTGTCACTTTTTCAAGGGTTTCACTTTCGTTTTGGCGCCTTAATAGCTGCAATTAAAATGAGGTTGCTGGTTGTAGGTGGCATGGTTGTATGTTGCATGTTGCTGGTGAGTGTTGTTCTGGGGTAGCAGGCAACAAAAACCACTTTACACTTGATTTTAATGGCAGATATTCGAGTTACTGCTGTGTTAATGTGCTGTACTTATATGGCTTTAATTGCTTTGATAATATTTTTTATTATTTAAAGGCAAAAGGCAACAAAAACCACAGTTTCACACTTCATTTTGCACTCCATTATTTATTTTTGTTATTATAATTATTTAGCACTCTAGTTTGTTAAGAACTTATGCTATAAATCTTATAAAAGGTAACTTAATTTTTTTTTATAATTTTCCAAGTCGACGTGAGAATCTTATAATGTTCAGATCATTTAATTTTAATTAATTAAGAAGTGACTAAATTAGTGAAAAACAAAAACAATATAAGATAAGTTTTCCTTTTTAAAATTGTAAAATGAAATACAACAAATTTACATCCTTGTTATGCATTCACTGGTCCATTTTCAGAATCACTTTGCCATCCAAGATTCAGAAACACAATCAACAACAACATTCCCCACATGGTTTTTCCCTTCGAGAAAATTAACTGAAAATGCAGCTTCTATTTCCACAAATGCCACAAAAGCCACAGTAAAAACACACAAAACCCAACCACTTGTCGTTGTCATCATCAAAAACGCTGCAATTGCCGACAGCTGGTGAAGATTTTCCATCCACAAAAGATGGGAAAGACGGGGGCAGAAAATAGAGTGAGAAACACACACTGATGGAGTATATGGAAAATCCATCCAAGGAAATGGAGCATCATCATGTGCACTGCACCACTGCAACACTTGAGCAGAAACAAAAGAAGCCAAAACGAAAAGGATTTCTGGAGGATGGCCAAAGGCAACAAAGGAAATGGAAAAGGACGAAGGGATCCAAAGGGAGAGTAGCTCTCCAAATTGAAGTGTCCGTGGGGAAATCGAGTATAACCAAACCGAGAGGGTTAAGGAAAAGGGGTTAAACGCACGAGAGGAGCTATTTGCGGAGGCAATTTCCAGCTCTTTAAGATAAGCAAAGCGGTTGTTGCGATTATCCAAAAGTTAAAGGAAAATCTCTAAAATATTTAAAATCATTTTAAAGCAAAACAAAATATAATTATTTGTTCACAAAATTCTATACATTTATAGTAAAGCGTTCATGAAATCTATCAAAATCTATAAAACTACAATTTTTAATTTTTTAATGTATTTATATTAAATTTCTTTTTGTTTTAATCATTTAAAATGGTCTGTAACACAACATAACATTAATATGAAAAAAACATAATCCCATTGAAATTTGACTGTTGATCATTGTTATCCACAGAAAATGGCTCAACGCATTGTGAAAAAGTTGAAAAATAAATCCTTAAAAGAACAAAAACTACTCCGCAAAACAAAGTGTGAAAACGCATTTAAGTCCCGCTGGTAAAACAAATTCTTTTTGCAGCTCAGACAAACTGAAACCCAAACTCAAATGGAAAGCCAAAAAGTTTCCCCACAGAATTTAAAATCTGTCCACCTTTCTTTTTTCCCATTTAAACACTCTAGGGAAGGTCAAAGGGCAACCAGTTGTGGCAGCTCAAGTTGGAGAAAATCCTATTAGAATGCATATTGGAACCGGAACGCAGGTAGAAAACTTCGGTTCAGACAAAAGATATGGTAGAGAAAAAGGGAGAAAAAGAGAAAAGGAGAACTGGAGACACGCAAAGTGCACAGGTAAGCGGAATTACGGATGAAGATGATGATGATGACAGGATACACAAAAAAGGGAACCGTCGAGAAATCGAAGAAAAAATAATAAACCTTGCGCGACAGCTGGAACAGAAAAGTTATAAAGGGATTCCAGAGGAATACGAAAAATAAGAGGCAGCTCACAAGCGGAGATTATAGCTGCGGCAAATTTAAATTCAACGTGCGTTCTTGACTCGTTCTGCTTTTGGTTTTAACTTGTTTTCGCTTTTTCTTGATCTTTGAATGTCAACATTTGCTTCCAAACATTGAAGGAAAAATTAAGAAATGGTTTAATTAAATTTTAAAATTTTAAGGCAAGAATTAGTGTTTTTTATCGTCCGCAAATAACAGGTTCCTCATTACCAATTAAGCATTACATATTTTAAATATAGCAGTTGCATTTGAAAATAATTTCATATATTGAAGAGTATTAAAATTAGTTCAACTTGTGTTCGCTTTTTCTTTATCTTTGAGTGTCAAAACATTAAAAAAAAATTAAGAAATGGTTGAATTACATTTTAAAATCTTTAAACATGAATTAGTTACAAATTATCCATTAAATAAAAATATTAAACTATACACATTAAAAATATGACAGTTGCATTTGTGATAATATTTGCATTTGAAAATAATTGTAGAACTCATTTATTAAGAACTACTTAAATAAATAAATGTTTATTAAAAATATATAACAATAAAAAGTACTTATAAGCTACCCTAAAGTAATGCCAGTGACCTAATAATTAAAAAATTGAGATACATAGTAGCTGAACAATTTCTAAGACCATTTCTTTAACCTAAGACCCTTTTAAACCTACTTTTAATGACCGCCCATAGTAAAAGTTTGTCTATATATATGAACATAAATATATATATATATTTCTTTTTTATTTCTTGCTTGGTTTGCTGTTCTACAAAGTCGATAAAAAAAAAGAATTGGTAACCAGAACAGCGTTGGGCGAAATCTTGGCTAAGAGTAACTGTAACTAAGCTTTTGTGGTCTGCTGTCCGATGTTTTGTGGTTGTTTGCTTTTAGTTGTTCCAGTGCACTGACTTTTGGCTCGTTAGCTTCGATTCTGTTTTGAGTCGGCAGTTAGTTAACTATTTTTTTTTACTTTTTTTTTGTGGATTTGGCGCGCGACTCACATTAAAAAGGCGGCCAGGCGAGAATTTGAAGAGAACTCAGGAAGTGAAGGAAAACGGGGGAGGAGCTTGAAATGTGGATCATTGGTTGCTTAAAGGCAATACAAAAAGTACACAAACAAAAAAATTTAGGATTATCGGGTCTCTTGAACTATTTTTTTTTAACTTTTTTCTTTTTTATATCTTATACTGTCCACTTAAATCTTATAATCATTAAATTTGGGTTATATCTCTGCTTATGGAATTTAACTAATTTGTAAGTAAATGTCTTAAGAAAAGTAAACAGTATTATTAATATGACAGCATTAGTGGCGTAATAAAGTATATTTACTATGTTTTGAAATATTAATAAATAATAGTTTACAATTTTTTCACATATATATATATATATATCTAATTTTTTGTCACAGTTGCAATTACAAAACGAAACTTTTTTTTTATGTCGACAACATTTGTTTTAATGAACGTCTATTGAAACGCGGTGCGAAAGAGACGGCGCCGAAAGAAAGAGAGGCGATTAAATTAGCAAATGCGTTGAGCGCAGGGGGTTGGGGAAAAAGGGGCTTCAGAGGGTTAAGGGGGGATGGTGGATAGGGTGCAACATATTGCATATTGCACATTGCACATGTGGAACGACGCGAGCAACTTGCAACGTCAGCAGGCGCATATTAAAAAAAATAGATATATATGAGGAAAAAAAAGCTTCAACAAAGAGTGGCTATTGCCCTCTCGCTCGCTCGTAGTCTTCCGTCTCTTTCGCACTCGCCTTGTGGCAAGTTCATTGAACCTCATTTACAGTTCAGTAGTTTAGCGATTTTATTCTCATGGGAAAGAGACGGAAAAGCGGGCGGGCGCGAGACAAAGACGGACTGAGAGGGAGGCCCGACTTTTATTTTTTGGGGCAACTCTGGCTTTGCAAAAACATAAATTAAATACAGTCCAACTTCTATAAAATTAATCTTTAAATAGTATGACTATCAATTAATTTTTACATTTCCCTGCAAAACAATTCAAAATATCAACAATATTTTCTATTAACACAACTAAAACAACTTTCATATATAATTTTTTACATTTAAAATAAGTTAATTTTTTTTTTTAATTATAACAAACTATTGTTTTTAAAAAACTGAAGTTTATTTTGAGAAAGTTAAGATGTTGCTTTTTGGTTAAGATACAAATTAAACTCAAGTACTAAATATAGTTCATCCTATGAGAATTTCCATTTCGGGGAGTTTCGCCTGTAAAAACCAAACAATGGTTTGCAAAAAAAAAACCAAATAAATGTGAGACAAGAAAGGAAAGCGTTGGGAACTAAACAGTAACAAAAACTAATGCGATTTGCGGCAGCAACATCAGCAAAAAGAAAAAAACCTCGGAGATTCATGGATTTTTCGTTTTTCGTTTGAGAGGCGGCGCCGCCAGCCAAAAGCAATCAAATCCAATTAAGAGCAAGAAAAAAATACAGAAAAAAAAACAGATAAAACGGTGGAAGCAGAATTTTTTGGTTTTCAATAAAAAAAATATTGTTTATGTAAAAGGAGCAACGAAAATAACAAAAGTAAAATAATAACAACTTCCAGCACACGCGACTTTTATACAACAAATTGTCCGAACTCCATAAGAAATATATGGAAAAAGAGGGGCAGAGACAGAGGTGGAGGTGGAGAAAAAACGGAGGCAGCAACAAACAGAAAAGCCAACAAAAACGATAAACGAAACAGCAGCAAAGTAGCAAAACCAACAACAATCAACTCTTTTGACCAGCTGTCGCACAGTGGGCTGCACAGTGGGCCAAGTTGTAAGAAAACTGGTAAAAGGAAACTTCTGTTCAAATCCAAGATGGGGAAATGCTTTTTCTTTACATATTCCGTAGTGTTTTTCAGATAATGTACCTACTACAGAACAAAAAACTTTTCTAATGAGCCTCAAAATGAGCTGATAAAGAAAAGAACCTATTCTTAAGTTACAATTTTAACGGTTTTGTTTGTTTGTATCACTATTTATGCGTTGTTTCTAAATTTGAGTTAACGTATTTCCTTCAAAAACATAAAGTTATAAGCCCAATTGAATATTATATGCCATCCCACAGTGCCCATGCTGTACAATCCATAAGTACAAGTGTTCGGGGTTGCTGCTAATGGAACACAATTCACAATTCACTGGGAATTCGCTGTCTCTATCTCTCACCCCTCTTTTTTCCTCTCCAGCCAACATCCCCCATCTCTTTCTTTCGTTGCAACGACAATGGCAACAAAAGCATAACAGCGGCAGACAGCAAAAACCAAGGGACAAAAACAACAACAACAAAACGGTGGACCAAGAGTCGTCATCCTCAGTCGTTTTTGTTGTTTTGGTAAAAACTTCTACTCCCCGGAGAAGGGAAAGAGATGGGTATATATGGGGTGGTGAAAAGGGGGGGGTGTAGAGGCAAAGTTGCCGGCAGTTAGTGCGTTCCACAGAAAGTTCGCATAAATTTAAATTTGCGCGCAAACGGCGCCCACAAATCCCCAGAATAAATATACAAACAACTACAGTGAACATTCCATTATGGCTATTTTCTGTAATAAACTAAATTTTTAAAATATGTTAATTGATATTTAAATCAACTATCCTAATTGGTATTTTTACAAAATTTAATAAACTCCTAATATCTCACTAAAAAAAAATTGTTTCATAATTTACTACACATTTTTAAGAAACTAGTTTCCTTTACTTTTAATAAGAAAATTTAATTTATAAAACATAAATATCTTTTACGAAAACGTAAGTCAGTTTTATCATATTAAATTTCAATTAATGAAGTTCCACTGTTCAACAAGGAAAGGCAATAAAAGGGAGCAAGAGAATGCGTTTTTTTGGGGGTTGCTGGATGCTGCAAAGGGGGCTTTTCCGAAAAGGGGGTGGGATTTTGTGGGTGTGGGGGGGTCGAAAGTCGGACGCAAAGTGGAGTAAACTGAAGTCTGGAGCACAACAAAAAGTAGTAAAGGAGGCAGAAGAAGAAAATGCCTAGGAGAGGGTGCGAAAATCCTGCAGTATACACACCACTACCAGACTTTTCCTATATATATATATATCTTTGTGGTGGAGAAAAAGAAGAAAAGCAAAGGAATCTGTCTAGACAACATTGTAAGTAGATAAAAATATTTGGTTGGAAAAGTCACCCAAGGAAATAATGAAATATGTATGTAATTTCCTACCCACTCTACCCTTCTCTTTTTCCTCTTCTATCACTATCTCTTTCTTGCAGGTAATACTATTTTTGATAAGGAAGCAATTGTAGCACATTTCTCTGTTATTTTTTCAATTGCACCATCATCAAAATCGTGTTTACGGATAAGATAACACACAATAGCGCTATATTTTTTCACATTTTTCGTGTGGAAATTCAATTTAGCGAACAAGCGTGTGCTGGTGGAAATTAATTTATTTATGCATACTTAACATATTTCTGCATATAAACAAAAAACAGCTGCCTGAAATAACTGTAAAGTATTTTTTGTTTACCCAAATGGTGAAAAGAAAAAAGAGAGAGTGAGAGAGCTTACTGTTTATTTTTGCCTAGTTTATTGTTATTTTCTGTTTATGCTACTTCTATGGCCCCCTCTTTTTGCCGTTTTAACATTCTTTTGTGTTATTGATTTCACTTTTTACGAGAGATTTCTGGATGGTTTTTCAAATAGCAGAGATACAGTCAAGAAGCTAAATAAATAACAAAATTATGGGTTGGTTAGCCCATATATGTTTATACACAACATAGCAGTTTAAATGATCTGAACATTTGAAATTGGTTTTAATTTATGTAAAGAAATACAATTATTTTAAAATAAATTTATATGTTATTATAGTTTTTAATTTGGTGTGCTTTTGCTTGAACACAAGTGTTTTTTTTTTTGTTTTATTTAAGTTGCTTTAAAAACATATTATTACATTTTTGTATGCAATTTTTTTAATGATCTTAAGTTTGAACGATTGGACAAAAGACAATATACATTTTTTATGATATAGTTTTTATAATGGAAAATTTAACTCGAATATCTTAATTATTTATTATTTAGGCATGTTATATATCTGAGAGTTCACTGTGATTAAATTCACATTAAAATATGTTTTTCATTGGCCTTTGTGTTAATTTTTTTGTAGCACCTGTCGCAGCTGATTTTCATTCACAATATTTATTTTTCTTTGTTATTTTTTTAGCTGGGAGACATTCATGGGTGAAATTCCTATAGAAAAACCATTTATTATAAGCAATGGAATTTTAGTTTGTTTCTCAGAGAGAATTTGGTCGTTTGTGTGTATTGTGTGTGTTGAGAGAGAAGTTGTAAAACCGGATTTTCCTTTTGGGCGCTTTCGTAGTTTTGTTGCCTTTTGCACTTTGTGTCGATCGTCGATTTTAAAACTATATTTTGATATTGGTATGATTAAATGTTAAAACAGTTTTCTTCCATTTTCTCTTTCTTTAGCATTTTCGTTTTGTTTACTTTTCTTTTTGATTTTTTTTTTTTAATTTACACTTACACTTGTTGATTATTTAATTTATTTTATTTTTCACAGTTTACTTGCGTTTTCTTTTACTTTTGCTTGCTGAACTTATAATTTATTTAAATCAAACTCACAGACACACAAATGCACGTACCTACATTTACACGCACGCACACACATAAAACGTCAAGCGACGCGCCGCAAAAATAACGAAAAACAACAAAAAACTACGAAAAAAGCGGCGAAAAAACAAAAGCAAAGTTTTGTTATATTTTGCTTTTCACTGCGAAATAAAACTAAATTGGAACTAATATCGTTGTTGATCCGAGTGTTTGTTTTTGTTTACTGTTTTTTTTTTTTGCTTTTTGCGGAGGGACCGCGACTTTGTTTTCGTCTCGACGCTGAAATTTAAATTATTGCCAGAAAACAAGCCTGGTTCTATGTTTATTTAATGGCTAACGCTCGTTGTTTCTTTCTTTTTGCACGGCGTTATTTGTATTTTTTAATGTTTGGGGATCCAGCGATTTGTCCGCGCGCAATGCTCACCAGTCGAAAGAAAAAAAAACACTAGAGGTGGGCAAACATCGATGACAACATCAATTCCATCAATGTTCTTAAACATCGATTATATTGATGTTGCTATCGATATTTCCCATCTCTAGCTTGTGGTGGGTTTGTGTTTTGCAGTAAAATGTTAGCCAAACGTCGTACGAACAGAAAAATGTTAGCCAAACAGCGAACTAACAGAAAGAGAGAGAGATCTTCTGAGTTCTCTCAATCTCAGAGAGCATATTTATTATTATTATTTAACATTTTTTGTCTTTTAGATAAGCTTGTCTTTCAATGATTTTTAGAGTTTGCAGTCTCTCATTTGATATTCGTGAGAGATAACATAGAGTAATAATGCACTTTCAATGTTTCTAAAAAAACCAAATAAAAAAAAAATCCGTTTTATAATTTATTATGGTGGAATTAAGTTTGTTGCAAAGATATATTGTTATTTTTTTATTTTATTATATTTGTTTTTTTATTTTACATTTTTTAAATATTTGACATTTTCAAGTAGAAGCTAGTATTTTTTGGTTTAATACTGAATTTTTTCACTACCTTAAACTCAAAAAAGCAAATCAAACCAATAACATAATTACTCTATGCCAATAAAATATCTCAAATCAGCATTACAGCTCAAAGCCATACGAAACACGACCTTTTAAGAGCCTGTTGTATGAATAACAGAGAATATTTTATCGATACTGAGTAGGAATCGGAAATATTTTTGAGTTCACACAGTTAAAAATAGGTGTGAGGGATGATTGTATTGGTGGACGTCGAGCATTGAGAAGATGCTTCAGGTTCGACATGACGTCACGTCAAACAGCAAAAGCAATTTGAATTTGCTGGGAATCTGCTTGGATGTTCGAAGTGTGGTGAAATGATAAAAAGTAAATAAACTGGTATTTTGCAGCGAAATCAATAAAAGAATGGAGACATCGAATTACCATCGGCTTAGAGGCAATACCTCTGGACGTTTTGTTTAAAAACCTGAAATTTTTGTGTTTTAAGTCATAAAACATCGCTATTTTTGACTTTTATTGACATATCAACGGTGTTTAGTCGTATGTAGTTCTTGTAAAGGCAAAAAAAAGCAAAAGAGAAGTCATTGTTTTTACAAAATAGCGCAAAAACTCTTTCAATGTTTTGAATTTAGCGCTTACTAGCTGAACTCTTCTTTCGCATGCAGGTCTTACGGCAGTTGCATCCTGTTGCTGGTCGCTTGCACATGTTCGAACAGCTGATATCTTCACCACACTGTTCAAACACCGGCGTCACGCAAGCGTCCATAAATTTGCGGGCAGAGCAAATGCCGACTCTATATAGTTTCCTACTCTATGTCTATGGTGAGAGATAAACACAGCAAGCGTTGGTTGGAAGAGTGCAGCTACTGGGGACGGAAATTTAAATTTTATGTTGGCGCCAAACATATTTAAGATTCAATGCTATTTGAAATTTCAGATTTATAAGTGATTTTTTTAAGATAAAGAACATTTCTTATTCACCAACAAAATATGTACTTAAGGAATTTAATTTTGTATTTATTTATTTATTAAAGTTTAGCTCAAAATTCAAATGGGATTGACTTGACTAATTTTTTAACATTTTTTATTTAAATTTTATTTTAGTAGCTTTATAATAAACCAACATTTTTTCTATTACTGTTCAAATAACAAAAAAATCTGCAGGCTTAGATTCCCAACATGTAAATTACTCATTAATAAATATATAACTACATATAAGAAGTAATTACACTGAAATTAACCGGATTGGACTCACATACTTCGCTGTTAATTATGAGAACTTTAATTGAATAAGATTGCCCATTGATTTGCAATTCACACCCACAAAAAAACCCAGCACCCAATGATAATTGCCAATTTGAATGGAAAACAGTAACAGGCGGACAATAAGGGCCTGAAAAAAGGCGGGAAAATATTGAAAATCAATTTGCATTCCACGTCGGAAATATCCAAATGGTAATTCCCCTCTCGACAAACCTAAATCCCTGAAAGCCCTCAAATGAGGCAATCCGCAAATGAAAATCTTTTCGGGGGAAGCGAAAGAAAAACAAAAACCGCACTTCAAAAGCAATTTCACCTTGTTTTCCCAAACACACACACTAACAAACAAAAATAGTGGATAAACAATGGGCGCGAGGCAAATCTCTTATTTTGGTCGTATATAACTTTTCGGTAAGGAATTTCCCAAACTGCTCTTCAAGAATTTTCACGAGTGGTGGCGTCTCCTATTTTTAGGCCCACTACAAAAACACCAAACAGTGCGCATTCGAACAAGTGAACACTCGTTTTTATTTTATTATAAGAAAAAATATTGGCTGCTACAAAAAAGCTAATATTTTGAATACTATTTATACAATTTTTTGGCACATATTTTTTTTACTTACATTGTTATTTAATTTTTTTTTTTCAAAAAAATGTCAACATATTTTTGCACCTAAATTGTAATACTTTGTTTTCTCAGTGTAATTTTATGTTAGTTTCCTTACGGTTTTAAATGTCAACTTGAAAACCATTAATAAAACTTTTCTGAAAATTACATTTCTTTTTATATATTTTATTATATTTTTAATAAGCAACCAATTTTCATAGACTCTAAAATGTGTAACAACGACAACGCCAACCACTAAACAGAACTCATTTATTTTGGTTTTAATTTGAAACGAACAACAAAGCCTCACAAGTAAATATATATACACATACAGACTTTATATATAGTAATCACTATGTACCTAGTATATATAACAGGAAACGGAAGCATCATTTGCTCTAGTTGGATATTTGTTATGAGAGATAGCGAGGTATGAGAAGGGGGAAAATGCAGGGGAAGGGAGGAAAATGGAGGAAAACTCAGCGCAGGAATTTTGTTGCACCAAAAATGCCGGCAAATGAAAAGCGCATGTCCACAAATTAAAAATAGAGAGAGAAATCCAGAGAGAAATACTTTTTCATTGAGAGAGCAAAACAAAAATAGTTTGAAAGCAGCTGGAGGAGGTTTTTGAAGCACTGTTTCAAGCAGTGCATAATTTATAGCAGGCGAGACATTTTGGGGACTGCAAAACTTTGAGAAAATAAAATCATTTAAAACTGATGTTATCAAAAACAAAACAAAAACAAAATTGTATGTTAATAAAAAAATAAAACAAAAACTCATGGTATAATTTCACAACAATTTGACCATTCACTTAATTTTTTTTTCGGTAACAGAACTGTTGAGGTAAACCGCTAAAACCGTCATATAGAATTTTCAAATAGATAATGATTTTAAATTTGGAAATTATGGAAATTTAAAACAAATACGTATAAACATCACATTACATTCTTAAGGTAAAACAAATTTACTTCTAGTTAAATAAAGTGTATAAAATATACGTAAATTTTTATTTTTGTCTTTTTGTGCTGAACACTTACAGTTAACCAAACTTTTTAAAAGATAGCCAGGTTTGACATTAAATGATGTTTTGAATACAAAATAGTAGTACACTGATTAAATCGACAAATAGTTCAGTGTCAAACGTCAAGGCAAGTTTACCCACCCCACCCCCAGAAAATTCCACTTCATTCCGAGCGAACAATTCGTCTTCAATGCCAGAGTTTTCCCGACTTCTTCGCCCCAATTTCCCAGCCCTTCCGCATTTTCACACAACCTTCTTATCCTTCAGTAAAATGAACTTGAGAAGCTTGATAAAAGGGCTGCCATTCATTCATTCAGCTGCTTTGCCGAAAACTGTTCTCAATGCCAAAAGCTGCCAACTTAATTTATATTGTATTTAAAATGCAAAATGCACAACATTCAACAATAGGAGAAAAGCAAAGAAAAGTGGGCGAATGTGGAAAAGTGGGCGGGGGGCACAGCTGAAAAGCTGCTTTAATTTTACAACTTGACAAATTGAATGTTTGCGGAGTGGGAAAAGCGTTACGATAAGGGAGAGCCATTTAAACTGAAAAAAATACAGTAGCAGTTTGAATAGAAACATTTTAAAAGTGTATTTATATAGTCAAATGATATTTATATTTTTCGTCACAAAGGTTTGAAGGTGCGAAAGTCACGGTTAAAATGTTTTCTAAATCCCGAATTAATAGTTTTCAAAAAACTAATGATTTCTCGCAGTGCTCAATCAGTTGCATTTAAACAATGGGAATGCAAAAGGGTTAAAAAAAATGGTTCTGACAAAGGGAAACCAAGACAACCCGTTTGCAAGGTCTTCTCTTTGGAATACTCTTGGTATTTCCTTGCCCTTTCTGAATCGAGGAATCTTTGGCAGTCATAACGATAGTTAACAATCTGGCCAAGACAAATTAACATTGCCAAAGGTCAAATTGCATTTGCTCGGGGAATTTCTGATTGCTTCCGTTTTTTTTTGTGGCCCATTGCTAATGTATATCTCCGAAAACCCCTGCCCCAAAAATAGGTAAACAAAACCATTATTAGAAATGCAGTGCACGCAACGCAAAGCGGCCATAAAGACGTTTGGGCCAAAAGCAGCAGCCAAATTAAAACGAACCAGAAAGCAAAAAAAAAACAACAACAGAAAATGAGCAGACGTGCCACGGTCAAAAGTGACCTCTAACACACCGCCCACCTCCCCTTTTCGTGGGCCACCCACTCCGCTAGTAAAGCCAAAAGTCAACTAAAGTTTTACTATAAAAGACAGGGCATTTGCAATTGTTTAATCATATCAGTTTCTGTTCAATCAGCGGATATACAACCAAACAACAATCAATCCAAGATGTTCAAGTTTGTGAGTATCTCCGGTGTCCTAAGAAAATATTTTTAAAGGATTTTACAAGATAAACTATATACGTAAAGTAAATTTGCAACAACAAATTAAAACGTACTATATAACGTACTTTATTTATTCTAAAGATATTAGGCAATTACCATACAAATTTTTTAGATAATATTAAATATAAAAAAACCAACCAAGAAAATCATAATACCTTTGTGCAAACTTTTCACTTTATCTCTAAAGTCTTAAGACTTTATTTATTTTCCTTGGCTAATCAAATCCTTGTTTTCCCCCAACTTTTCAAATAGTTCGCTCTGTGTGTGTTCGCTCTTTTGGCCGTCGCCTTTGGAAAGCCGCAGTTCCTGACCGCCTACAGTGCGGCCTCGCCTGTGGTGGCTGCCACACCCTACGCCTACTCCGGCGGAATCTATGCTTCGCCGTACAGTGCAGCCTACACCAGCGGCGTCTATGCCTCGCCCTATACCTACGGAGCTTATCCCTACAGCTCACTGTACCTGAGACGTTAGGATAGTCCCGTGCAACGAATGATCACTGTACTACGATAATTGCTGATGACGACGACCTAATGAACAAATAAACCTGATAAAACAGATAAAGATTCGCAATCCAAAGGCCAGCTATTTGCTGTCATTTGCTTTGAGCAACTGCAGCTTAAAAGGGCTGCAAAATGGGCGGTTCACGGGCTCACACTTAAAAAAAAAAACACTACAAAAAAATAATATGGCACCTTTGAAAGATCTTAAAAAATATATACAAAAAAAAGGGAAAAATTAAAACTAAGCTTGCTCAACTCTTAACGTTTTATTGTTCTATTCTATTTGTTTATGTTAATAAAATTGTTGAAATATTGAATACAAATTCACCTATCTTTTTTATTTCAAATTTCAGTTGAATCAGGTCTTTAAAAAAAAAATTAAATATTTATCTGTTCAAAATTGCGTTTTTTTCTCGCTGTGCACAGTGGTTGTGTGAGTGAAAAAAGCGTATTTTAAAATATTTACGAATTTGTTGCTATCGTTGTTGCTGGTTTTGCTTGGCAATTTCCGTTAGCTATCAAAAACATTCGCATTCGCTCGTATATCATGTTTCATGTGGCAATGGGAGGGCTAAAGGGGTGTGTGGCCCAAAGGGGTTAAGGGGCGGCAAAAAGGGGCGTGGCGCTGAAACTGTCGCTAGCATGCGTCGGCGTGAATTTGCATCGCTGCTGAAATGTGCAAATTATGGCAACTAACTTGCTTCATGTTGTCCCAAACACACAATGGGATAAGTGGAATACACTCAAAAAAAGCTATTAAAGTCCCTATACAAGACAGACTATTATGACCATTATTATAAATAAATTCAATATTTAGAAAACAACCTTTTTTTGTCTCTACAAAACAATGAACTTTTTTTTTTACCAGCTGTTTAAATTTGTATGCTAAATTCCAAAGAAAGTAGTTTTTATAATCATAGGCATTATTGCAATTAAAGCAATGTAAGTCAATAACATATTTATAATTAAGCAGATTACAAACATTCTAATAAAATATTATAGAATGAAAATAAAAATAAATTTACTAAAAATATAAGAAAATACATAAATGTGAAGGGATTGCAAAGAACTTTCTTTGAGATTCTGCTTCACTTTCCCCCGCTGCCGCTTTCACCCACACTACACCCATTTCCTGTCCACACTTTCCCTTCCTTTTCCTTTCCCTTTCTCCCTTTTATTCCTATTTCTCACTTTCAGACGTCAGCTTCAGTGTCGCCATTTGCATAATGCATGTGTGCTATAATGTAGTGTGTTTGCAGTGTTTGCAGCATCCTTTCAGGCGCAATTGTGCACCGTGGTCCTGTGAAAAAAAGAGCATCAAAATGCATATGGAAATTGGCCCGAAATGAAAAATATGTCCAACATCCTGAATAAATGCATTTAGATAGGGCAAATGTGGTTAAATGTTGAATAATGTTTATGCAAATGCTGTTTTCTAGTTGATTGGCCCAAGGCAAAGGAATTTTAGAGTCGAATAATGTAGGTTGAACGAAAATATGAAGGAAAACAAAAGGCATTTGTTTATAAGCATTAAAAGTCGAAACAAATAAAGTTGTATACTAAATAAAGGAAAGGGAGTTTAATACAACACAAATGTTGATAAAAAAAACAATTTTATTAACGCTTAAGGACTTTTATTAAATATATATATAAAAATGTTTCAAAGTCAAATAGTTATTTAAAAATATCTAAAACTCAAATTGGATCACTTTGGGTTTTTTTAAGGAGGTACATGAAAAATAAACATGAAAGTAAAGCTTTGCATTTGAAGCATACAAATTTAAAACCAATAAGAGCTAAGAAAAAACAAATGTTAATGACCAATTTAAAATAAAATTCCAATGCTGAGTACGATGTGTTCAAATTATAAACAAAGTTAAATTTTTGCCCCTGATGTTAAGGCCTTAATTTGCCGCCTTTAATGTCCACAAAGTAGAAATAAAAATGGCAATCAACTTTCCACTTAACTTGCCATTAATTTTTGATTGTTTTCTTAGGACTTTGCCGCCCCAAAGAACAAACAGAAACTGTTTTTCCAGGCCGACACACCACTGTATTTGTAGAGGGGAAAAGCGGAGGGAAAACCGGCGGGAAAAATCTGTCATCAGCAGGGAGCCCACCTCAAAACTGTTGTTTTCTTTTTATTTTCTCTTTGAGCTTAGAACAAACTTTAAGATGTGTATGTGCTTATGAAAAAACAAAAACAAAAATAGATGGAGGGAAATTTGGCAAAATCTAAATCTAATTTGCATCGTGGGGTGGATAATGGTAAGCCACAGCAGGCGCTGATTTGGAAAGAAACAGCCCACGCGCCACGCTTTTCCCAATTTTCCACCCCACCCCACCATATTTTTTTTCACATACGCACACGCAAGGGAATTTAAGAAGTCATTGCAAATTTTTCGGGAGCATTTCCTTCGAGCTCCTTCTTTTTCTTATCCTCCCACACAAATCCTGCGATTTTCCTGGTCGTGTAGTCCATCAATGTCAAACTTACCTGAAAGAGAAGAGCAAAAAAATGGGGTGAGATAAAAGAGAATTCGTGGTCTGAGGAATGGCAGGAATAATTCAGGTTAAACAAAGTTAAGTGTTTGTATGGGCCCCTCAGGTAAATGGCAATATCAAATGAGCCATCAGAAACATGGGAAACTCGGAGGAAATGCGCCATGCAGGTACACTTATAAGGAAACTAAAGTTAAACTTAAATTTAATTAAAGATTATTTTATCATGTTGTTTTAATATAAAAAATGCTTGTTAAAAAGTTTCAATTTGTTACACAACAACAATAAACAACATTTTCCCAATGAATTCCAAAAAATTATATAATATATATAATGTTTCTTACATTTGCATTAATAAAGTAAAGGTATAATAATAGGTAATAATATTACTTATAAAGGCCAATTGACTTTCCCGGGATTTTCCTAAAATTCAAGAGTATGCGACATTGTCACTTCATTGACCTTTTAAGCCGCCCATGCAATGTTGGTTCTTGAAATGTTTTGTTTCGAGCCATCTTACTAAGTGAGTGGCAAGTCAAATTAAATTAAAATTAATGTCAGCGTTTGTCTGGAGAAATGTAGTTGATTACATTTTCCAGAGGAGACAAAGATACATATTTAATTATGCCTATACAGAAAGTAGTTTTAGTCAAAGTTAACTGTGTTTAAGTGACTTTAACAAACATTAAAGCATTCTTAAGATATACAAATTTATATTTTTGGTAAATTAACCAAATTTTACAACCGATAGACATATTAAATTTCAAGTAAAACTTTTTCCTGGGTATAATTTATTATTAAGTCATTGCATGTAAGGAATTGCTTTGCATTTTTTATAAATAATTAATTTAAAGTAAAAAATTAAACTTATAACCATAAAATCTACTAAAAAATATTATTTTTCACAGTATTCAAGAAATTCACCCACTGTTAGACATATTAAATTTCAAGTAAAACGTTTCCTTGATTACGAATTAATATTAAATCATTGCAAATAAGAAAGTAATTTGCACCCTTTAAATATAACCATAAAATCAACTACAAATCTAAATTTTTAGAAGGTTTCAAGAAAATTGTTGCCTTTATTAGACATACTAAATTTCAAGTAAAACGTTTCCCTGGTTATAATTTATTGTTAAATCATTGCGCTTATCCATTTTCGCCCCTGATTAATGATGGCCAGGAGCGAGGACTCAAGACAGACACGCAATTAATTGCCGGACTATTAGCAGGACGAACAAAAGGATACTACAAAGCACTCAACAAGTGATTACACCACGCTATCCTTTCTTCGAGGTCCTTTTTGCCCGTTTTTGTTTTTCTGGGAAACATATTTAACCCCTCAACGGATAAGGGCTTTTCTTTTGTTCTTTTTTTCCCGGAGATATTAAAAATTCATGGTTTAAGTGTGTGAGTGTGGAAATGAAGAAGAGTTTTGCCAGCCAACCTCTGTTAAAAATGCAGGACAACAATTTCCGTTTCCTGTCGCCGGGACGATGTTTCAATCTCAACTGCTGTTGCTTTCTCTTGCGGAACATCCTGGCCCAAAAATGTAGTAAAGCGCCAAAAAAAAATTCAGAAAATAAAGGCCCAAATCAAAGTCCTGATGAGCTGGAAATCGTTTGGCGCTGACAGGACATCTCAATTGGCACTTCGTTTCTGTTTCTCTGTCTATATATATATATATCTCCTTCCCTTTGAATATCTCCCACTCTCGATATATCCTTTTTTCCCCTATATCTCGCCGTTTTCTCTGATTACACACAAACGCAAGATAAAGTCTAGTCTGGCGTTAAATTGAATCCGCGGCACAATTTTTTCTGTACTTTTCACCGCGTTCAACGTGGCGTATAATCGATTTTTATTCGGTTTATCTCCGCACACATATGTATATAATTTTTTATTATTTTTTCAGACTTGAAAATTTTCTCAGCTGTCGTTGGTTAAGGCTCGCGTTCAACTAAAACTAAAATCAATCGCAAACGCGGTCAAAATAAAACAAAACTGTCACAATGACTATTGCTAGTTGAATAGTACACGGAGAAAAATAAAAATAAAGTTATGGTATGTAAAACACATTAGTTTAATAATAAGTATTTTTTTTTAATAATTTTTTAGATTGTTTAGCCGATTCTTAATTATTTTGAAAAGAAGATTTAGATAATTTATAAATAAAATGGCTTTTATATTTATTTTTGGCTTTTATGGTAAATTAACAAATCTTTAAATTATTCTGAACAAATAATTTTTATTCCAGGTTAACTTCCCTAGCAAATTTTAGCTTTTTTAAGGGAGTAAACAAAACATAAGACCCAGAATTTTTTCCAAGTGATTTGGTCAGCCATTCAGTCAACGTGGGACAAAGCTTAAAAAGGTCGTTAAAAAGAATGGAACACCAAAACATAAAACCCACATGAATCAATAGTGGAAAAGGCAAGAAAAAAAAAATGGAATGAGATGAGTACAATTTAGAAATGGTGACGAGTACAAAAAAAATTGAAGACAGTGGCTAATTTTGAAAGAAAAACAAGTAAGCTTTTAATTACACGAACAAATTGTAGCTCAATAATTATTAGAGGTAAAATAACTTTGGAATTTCGAATATTTGTTATTATAATAAACTTTTTTTATATGAAATTATGATTTATCTTATAGCTATATATTTATTAATATAAGGATTAAATATTTTAATTGGTAATTAAAATACAGACCAAACCTCGTGAAATACAATGATTTATTTTCAATTTAGTTATAAATCAGTTTTAGCAATTTTAAGATTTCTATTCGTATTATGTTTCCCAAAGAAATATCGGCTCAAAAT